AAAGCTCAAAGTTTATTTTTTGGACAAAAAATAATTAATAATTAAAAAAAAATGGGGGGGGGGGGTCTCACATCTGCAGCAAGTTGTTATATACTGTTGAGCCACTTTATTAAGACCTTCCCTCCCTTACTTGATTAGTATATATATATATATATATTGAATTAATACACACACTCTTAATTCAAATTCCCCTAATTACAATAATTTATATCACAAAACATAAGAAAAGAAGCCACTGAAGGCACAAAGATGCTACCTTCATTATAACTCCTTTCTATACACAAATAAAAATGGAAAAATGCTAGCCGATAATGTTTGTTACAAATGTTTGAGTATGAATTTAAACAAGTTTTAAAAATTGAAGCCTGCTTAAGTGATAGACTTTTCAACGTCATCCACTGTCCATCAGTAATGTTTACCTATATAATAGTCAGTAATTAAAAATACAATAACATGAAACTACAGAGGTGCATCTCAACACAACTCCAATATTTCCTTAAATCAGCAATATATTTCTCAGTCTTGCACCATCTATATAATCAAAAATCAATGAACCCAATTTTGTACAAGTCTGTCAGAAGTTATTGCCATATTAATGTTCAAGAACATTTAATATCAAGGAAAAATAGTCTATCTCTTCATAAAAATGTCAAAACAACAATCATTACAAAATTCTGACTAATGATATGTAATGTAACTTGATTGACTCTGTGTTTATCTAAAAGCAAGGTAAGGTGAACAGGGAGAAAAAGATATTTTGTTATGTATGTGCTCTACTGGGTGTCTTCTATACTTTTAAGGTCCTCACACAATCTGGAACATATAAGAACAACTTACTTTAGCTGAAGCATCACACGCGCCAGAAACAAAAGTCCGCACATCTGGTGACAAAGAAAGAGACATCACATCACCCGTGTGTCCTGTGAATGATGTGCACTGTTGCCCCGTTTCTATATCCCATAATGCACTAAAAACAACAAGAAATTAAGTCTTCATAAAGTTCAGTAATATTTAACTATCATAACATTTACAATTCAAAAGTTATATAAACATTTAAAATAAAATTAATATTCTACAATCACAATGAAAATACATCATTCCTACAAGCTACTGGATGATTAATAATTTATATTTATGACACAGCTGAAACAGCAACATTATTACTCTGGCCAGTGCTTTGAAAGAAATTCAACTAATCAACTATGATCGTGCAAGAATTGTAAATCATGAAACTATTAGTTTTCTTATTATTTGCGTAAAGACCATAACTTTAGAAAAATTAAAGGGGAACTCTCAATGTACATCTCTGAGCATGAAGAAATTGTACAACCACAGATACTTGGGTTGTTATATTCTTGATGTTGCCATCTTTTGTAAAATGAAGTAGAACTATTTAAAATAATTATACAACATTAAGATTAATTATTTTAAGAACATATCAGTATTACAAAACTTGTAACAGTCTATGTTTGGGAAATAAGATATATTTCATGGCACTGGTTACTATTGTAACAGTCAATGTGTGGGAAATAAGATATGTTTCATGGCATTTGTTACTATTGTAACAGTCAATGTTTGGGAAATAAAATATGTTTCATGGCACTGGTTACTACTGTAACAGTCAATGTTTGAGATACAAGATACGTTTCATGGCATTGGTTACTATTGCAACAGTCAATTTTGGGAAATAAGATATGTTTCATGGCATTGGTTACTATTGCAACTGTTAGCAGCCAAGAAAGAAGGTACTTTTCATGACACTGGCCACTTTTATAAGTCAATGGTTGGGAAATAACATTTTATGGCACTGGTCATAACTGTAGTTGTCACTGGGCAGGAACTTGTATGTTTCATGGCACTGATCACGGTTATAACAGTCAATGGTCAGGAAAGAAAAAGTTTCATGGCATTGGTCAATAGATACAGAGATGATATAGCTCTAAATATTATCCATGAATTTACTGAACTTGGATTTTGGTTATGTTAAACTCCAAATGTCCATACCCAAAACTCTGCAATAACCTGTAAGGTCATATAGATCATTTTAAGTAACAATATCAAGAAATAAAGGACAACAGTGAAGATAGAATATTATGTACTTTTAACATACAGAGTTGATCATTTATTCCAATATACAATAAAGTCTAGTTACTCTAGAGAATGGGAAGGTGGGTCTGAGAAAAACAACTACAGCCAAATACCTTAAAATGTAATTAATGAAGTACACACATGGATTAATGAGATTTATACTGTCACTATTTACTAACTAGCACAACCATAACCAAAGGCTCTGTTGGTCAATAATAAGAAAGGCATAAATAAAAAACAATTATAAGAATTATGTATCACTGCCAGAGACCTGATCAGTAGATTATCAAAAAATTGTAAAAAATATATTTGTCACACAATATATTGGGTGGCTTTTGTTGGGAAATATGCAACACGTTCTAAATCATTATTTCTTTAAAATTTAGTTAAATCAAATGTTTATTTAATATTGATCAGCTGGCCATTCCAAAAAAATAAAAGTCAGTAGCAATCCAAAGATCTGAAGTGGTAAAAAAAATATATGGAGTATAATTGTACAACACACCAAACAAAAAGTTACAATCGTACAAACACTTTAAACTTTAATAGGTAAGTAAACACAGTTCAGGTTTGTTTCTTGAAAACCAGTACCCTGATTGGCAACTCACAGAAAACTACCAGTGGCATAAGGTATTGAAGCATGTAAAGAAATGTATCAGTAAGAGAAAATATTTCTGAAAATCAAAAACTACAATAGAATTAATAATTATGTTAGTACAGGAACTTTAAAAAAACCCAATAAAGATGTCTGTTTACTTATAGGATTGTGTGAATGCATGTTAAACTAAATATTTAACCATAGTATAAAGTAAATGAAGTGGTGACTGGCAGTACAGTATGAAATAGTCTCAATAATTATGCCTCAAAGTTTCTTTTTAGGCTCCATATTGTTAGGTACACAATAAAAGATTCAAATACGTTAAAACGCAATTGTTGTTTGCCTCTTTCCTAGTTTGTCTGGTATAACATTGATGTAGCCTATGATGACATACAATAATATTGGTACAGTTGCAGTGTGTGAAATGGATTTGGGAATCTTTAATTTCTGTAGTATTCTTTCATTTCTCCATCATAAAAAATATAAGGTATTTTGTTTTAACCATACTGATTGCAAACAGTGAATGGTGAGTGCTTAATCTGAGCTGTAATAGAAACCATACAATTACATCTCTTGACTTCATTATTTTAATCAAACTCACATGACAGGCATATTTCAGTTCAGTTTTTAACTGACATATCAAGTCATATCACTTAAAATTATGTCATCACTCTAGTTGTAACCAACACACCTGGTGTTACTTGACGTTATTCCTTAGTTTATCCAACACAGTAGGCCATCACCTAAAGTTATAACTTAGTTTAACCAGCATATCAGATCATATCATCATCTGAAGCAAGATCTTAATTTCATTAAATAATATGTCTTTTAATCTAAAATTGTTATTCAGTTTAACCAGAATACTAAGTCATGTCACCTGAAGTTGTTGGTTAGTTTGACTAGCATACCAACACACGTCACTTGATGTTTCTTACTATAACCCTCTCGCTACAGGCAATTCAAAGTGCATGTCACAACGTTTTAGAGTTACATTCAAAATTTAATTAAACTACTTTATTATCATCATATATAAATACATGGAATCAAAACATAGTTAATAAATCAAAATATTTAAAAGCATCCTCAATCACCCTAGTATGAGAATTGTGACATCTGCTCTCTAGGTCTTCCCTTTTCTCTAATATATTTACCACCTCACCAAGAAGTATGGAACATAAGTTATTCATTATAATATAGATATTACTCAAGTAAAGCATAGTTTATATAGCCTTCAATCTTATTTGTTTAAGAAGACATGAACTAGAAAATCAGACCCACTTGCAACACACACATCACATTCAATATAGATAAAAAAAACCAAAAACATTAGATATTTATTCAGAAGGTTATAGAGATTATGCAAATGAAGTCTGACAATTTTCAGAAAAAGAAAAGTATTTCTAATCTGAGCATGAAAATCACAGAATATATTAGTTATATTATAGAAACTAATGGTCCCTTCGGGGTCACAAGGTTGGTGTAGCCCACTGATCTTGTAGTGGAGGATTAAGTGACATACCAGTCATCTGATGTTAATTAAATTAACTAACAATTTAAAGTAAGTAACTTCAAGTGACATGACCTGTTATGTTACAAACCAGTCATCTGAAGTTGTTAGTTAATTTAATTAACATAAGTCATGTCATTTAAAGTTACTTACTTTAAATGACATACCAGTCATCTCATGTTGTAACTATGTTTAATCAACACATGAAGTAATGTCACTTGAAGTTATTTAACTGACGTACCAGGTCATGTCTCCCGAGCTTGTTACTATTTGGTTATCATCTATAAATCGACAACAGGATAGATAACCAGTGTGACCAGGCAATTCTCTGCTAACTCGAACATTGCCTTCCCTAGTCTTAAGGCTGTAGATGGAACAGATATTGTCCAGCCCGCCACAGGCAACATAGCTGCCCGAAGCAGCATAGGCACAGGTCATAACCCAGCTTGATCTCAATGGAATAGCATGAACCTGAAGAAAGAAATTATCATGATAACTATAATGTATTATGAGTTTAACATTAAATGTTCTTTTCTCAACAAGTAATAAATAAATTTTGTAGCAGTAATGGAAAAAGGGAGAGTTCTTGAAGACTATGCTCTGAAACATTTTACTATTCAAGGTTCCAAACCAAAGATGTAGGCTGATGTTAGTTAGGTTAAATGCATAAGCAGCAAACCTAATGCAAAAAGTTGTCTTCTAGAATCAATTAATGAATATAATGTTAAGTCTCTGATTATGTAGTGAGATTACACATGCCTTAATTTCTGTCAAATTTCTCAACTGTATATTTCATTTGGGATCATGAAGTCATGGATCCACAAGTAAATTGATGTATTAATAGTTTAGATAAAAGCATTTCAAAAACAAATGGAGTCCATACATAACCCATTGATAATTCTAGTGTTCAAATATGAGAAACAGACTAACGAACTCTAAATCTCCCGCTTGACTTTTCATACAGAAGGCTGTTCACTCACGTTGAATGATCAAAACAGAAAATTTACCAGACTAGGATAAAGAAGATTTTATATCTGTGATTGAATCTCATCTTAGCTTGTACTTAAAATATGTTCTATTAACATTCTTTCAAAGCACATAAAGCTAAATTATGGGAGGCACAAAAAAGAAGGCCAAAGAAGAGCAAGAACCATGAAAAAATAACAAAAGATGGAGTATGAAATCATTTTAATATTTATTATAGAACTTTTTTTATACATAATGTACAAAGTCCAGTTTTTGAAATTTACAACTGGAATAGAATGCAAACATTTTTATATGCATTTTACTAGATAGTTATCTTCTAAATAATATTTGCAAAACAACTTTCTCAATAGATGGCACCACAATGGCTGAAAATGTTACATAACTCACATATATGGAAAAACACAGCAAAGAAGTAAATAAAAAACTGCTTTAAAAATGGTAGATGTAAAAATTAATTAAGAATAAACTAAAGAAAGCAATATCATGATATTAGTCTTACCTTGTTTGTGGTGTGCGCATCCCACACAATTAATTTACCATCTTGTGAGGCAGATACAAGGTAGCTGAAAAGAAGCATCAAAAGATAAAATAGCAAAAAACAAAATTTTCTGAAAAGTGAAAACAGATTTAGAATAACATGTTTTGTTATATATTTTCTCTGGGCATTGTTTGATTGATTGACTGTATCCATAAATATAAGTTATTTGGTATCAAAATCATTATTTGATATTTATCCAAAAAGTTAACACAATCTATGGCATAAGAGCTTTACACAGGTGAAAGATTCTATTTATATTTTGTGTGCCTGAAAAACACTGCCACTCACTAACCTACTTTTGTCCTATAAATTATTATTATGTTAAGCAGGGTACATCCTCACTTGGAAGTATCTGTATTTTCATAATCATCTCCATTTTTGTTCTTTAAATGATCTCAAGGTATCTACCAGACATAGTCTAGATTATTCTGGTTGTTTAGTGACAACAAATAAGCTAGATCTGAAAATATTTCTGTAAAAATCTTAAGAACAGAGGAAAGAAAAATTGAAACAAATAAAAACAGACTAACTTATCATTCAACACCAGCACAAGACTGTCTAGTTATTTTTTAAAATACAAATTAAAATGAAATTATTACAAATATACTTGAAACAACAGTGTAAACAATGATGTAAAACAGTTTAGAAACAAAATGTTTCAGATGAATAATGGGATAACATACTTCTTGTAACAATCCATTACCCAAATCCTAGGCTAATCAACCCGTTTTAACATGCTGGATGTGACATACTAGGATTTGTGTGAAAGAAAGTTGTATATTTACTTATTTTTTTCTTACACAAAACCATAGCAAATCAGGTTTATTATCACTAATGTATCTTCTGTCAAGAACTTATTACATGGTCATAGTGAATTAATCAACCAGTATCATTATCACTAACATAACTTGTTTAAAAACATGGTATTACATGGTTGTAATGAATAATAACTCAGGATCATTATCACTAATGCAACTTGTTTTAAGAACTTGGTATTACCTGTCACAATTTGCAGTAATTTTAGAACAAAAGAAAGGGTAATTTTTATGATGGTTATGAGGTGGGTCAAATCAACTGACACCATATAGGGTCAAGGTTGATAAAGTAATAGATAAAATATAAAGTTTCATTCCAAAAAAGTTAGATGCTTATTTAGGAGGATATAGGAATTATGCAAACAAAACTTAACAACTTTCAGACAAAGAAAAATATTTTTAATCTTAAAATCAAAATTACTTTGCATGTTGGATAGTCAATATTCTGAAAAAAATAAAAAAAATTTGTGACAAAATTTTTAATTAAAAAATCTTAATACTTAATTTAAAAACCTGATATTTTGTATACAAAAGCCTTGTAATGTTTACCAATAACCTGCCAAAAGTTGTGAAGATACACGTACATGATAAAAAATTATAGTATAATTACTCTCATGGATACATTCGTGGTTACGAGCTGGGTGGAATGCACCCAGCCTTAAGGGCTATAAATTACTCATTACATTTTGCATGTTAACTTCGTAAAGTTGAAATAAAATTACATAAGAAATCATATACTTTAATGCAATATGTAAAAAAAGTATGCATTACTGTTGAAATGCAAGTTTTTAAAGGCTATTGTGACCTCTATTTTGTCAAGATACACAGCCACCAGACAGACCATAAATGGACATAGTGACAAGAACTGTGATGACTTGGTGAAGCTCCAATATAATTTTAATGTAACATACTCAATCTTTTGTATAACCATGTTATATGAGTTCAAGTTAAATGGGCAGAATAGTGCTGTATTAATTTATTATTAATTCTGTAAGCAATAGTGCTTCATGAGGCAAGTGTTAACAATAATTCTCCAGCAAACAAAAAACAGTTCATATCATAAATTCTGACAAGTGTTTTTAATGGTATCTGCTTTTTCTAGTTTTGTGATAGCAACTAGACTTGATATAAAATATTCTGATGTATGATTCTCAAACACTTATTATTTTTTAAATTGTCATGCTCAATACCTTTGTACAAAATATTTACCGTGAATCTGATCCCCAGTGCATGGCGTATATCTTTGCCAAGTGGCCACGAAGTGTGCGTCGAGTCCGCATTTGAATTCTTCCCACAGGCTCCATGTTCGCTGTGGCCTGGACCAGAGTAGTATCACAAGCTGCCTTTCTTGCATCCTTCAAATGAAAAGGCAAGAACTCAAAAACTACTATTTTAAACCATCTTTTGCAAAAAAAGCACAAAATTACAAGCATAATACTTCTGAAGCATCACACTAAATGAATAAAGTTCCAGTAGATGACGTGCATGCTCATCAGGAATACCTCAACACACAGCAAGTTTGAAGACATTAACAACAAGTATACCTTTTTACAAAGATTCTTGTATTATGGAACTTTCAAGACGAAATACATACTCTTCCTTGGGAGATGGAAAAAATAAACAGTACAAGAAATTTTATTGAAATTCATTTCTATTCATCAAGTTTTCAGTGACCAAGACTATTCAATTTTTACAGATGTTTTAGAGATTGCTCAGTTTTTCTTCCACATCCATGAAAGATTCATCAATAAAACAACATTGTGAGAAAGTTACTTACAAACTTTAAAGGTTAAAAGATATGTTTCTACAATGTTATTCTAAGTATGTATATTCTCATTCAAAGAATAAACTTAAGGCACAAGTTTGTCATTGGCCTTTTTGGATAATCAAAATGTTCTTTATTCTTAATTTATTAAATTCTAATCCTATGATTCTCCTGGCAACATTAGTAAATAACATGTAAAAGTGTGGAAGACCAAAGATATAGACTGCATACTGTTAAAGTACAGTTGACTCTTTCAAGTAATAATAGTTTTTTAATAATAAAATTAAACATTGCGATAAAAATGACAGCATTTACGCAATGTAGGAAAGATTGTAGAGGACTAGTAATTAGTGTGATTAATTGTAACACTGATGGTATTATGGTAAAATACGTAGAGGACTAGTAATTAGTGTGATTAATTGTAACACTGATGGTATTATGGTAAAATACGTAGAGGACTAGTAATTAGTGTGATTAATTGTAACACTGATGGTATTATGGTAAAATACGTAGAGGACTAGTAATTAGTGTGATTAATTGTAACACTGATGGTATTATGGTAAAATACGTAGAGGACTAGTAATTAGTGTGATTAATTGTAACACTGATGGTATTATGGTAAAATACATAGAGGACTAGAAACTAGTGTGATTAATTGTAACACCAATGGTATTACGGTAAAATACATAGAGGACTAGAAACTAGTGTGATTAATTGTAACACCAATGGTATTATGGTAAAATACATAGAGGACTAGAAACTAGTGTGATTAATTGTAACACCAGTGGTATTATGGTAAAATACATAGAGGACTAGAAACTAGTGATTAATTGTAACACCAATGGTATTATGGTAAAATACACAGAGGACTGACTATTAATTAGTGTGATTAATTATAACACTGATGGTATTATGGTAAAATACACAGAGGACTAGAAACTAGTGTAATTAATTATAACACTGATGGTATTATGGTAAAATACACAGAGGACTAGAAACTAGTGTAATTAATTGTAACACCAATGGTATTATGGTAAAATACACAGAGGACTGACTAGTAATTAGTGTGATTAATTGTAACACTGATGGTATTACGGTAAAATACACAAAGGACTGACTAGTAATTAGTGTGATTAATTGTAACACTGATGGTATTACGGTAAAATACACAGAGGACTAGTAATTAGTGTGATTAATTGTAACACTGATGGTATTATGGTAAAATACACAGAGTTGTGGGTCACAGATAGATTAATATCTAGAAGTCTACTGCTGTGATTTTCAGTATTTACAGTAATTTGAATGACAATGGCCAAAACTTTACTGTTTAGTGATTTACTACTGTTAGATAAAAAATTAAAAACACCCACTGAAACATACAAGTAACTTTTTATTCTTTGTCATGTGTAAGTTTATAATAAATGGTCAGACTCCTTCAATGTTTTCAAAAGTATGGTCTCTCCTGATAAACAGACTATTGTTTCAAAACAACAAATCTTGGGTCCTTTTTTGGATTTCTATGATTATTTTGTAATGATCAGTGATGCTATCTTAATTTCAAATGGCTTCTACAGTATGACAGATTTTCAAATTGCTTTATTGCTTAAATTTCATTGGTTGATTAGTAGGTACATGTCAAAACGTCTTTATCCTCAAGAGTTTTATTACTTTTAGCAGTTTCAAAGCTTTCATTAATGAGTGAGTTTTATTTTCTAAGATACTATATACACAAGAACTAATTACTAAACCAACCAGAGAATTCTCATTGTAGTTATAAATCAAACAGCTATCACTTCAGTGTTTTCTCTTACAACACAGTCTTTTGTACACTAGGTACATATGAAATTTAGTGAATCTTCCTGAAAGGAAATCAAACTGCTTCCCTAAACTTATTACAAAAACTGCTGCCATTAAAGGGGGGGGGGGGGTTCTCCATTCTACTCATTGGTTGGGTGAGGGAAAAAACTTGATGTTGTGATTTCCAAATGTTGAAAAACAAGGTTTAGGATGTATGGTGAAGTATTTTTATTTTTAAACTACTAGACTATAAGCGGAAAGATTTCTGATTTACAGTAAATTCCAAACACTGTAGCTTGTAAGTGTTGGTGTGCTAGTGTTCTGGAGTACTCATTTTATGTGCTACTCTAGAGACCTAGTCACCAGCATATTTCAACCACACAGGTGTCTACAATGAGCTCTAATCTACAAAGATTATTCATGATTGGTTAAGGCCTAATTCATCTCATCCTTCTTTGGCTTACTCAAAACGTACTTGCTACAGGCTGGGCTCATGTTTTCCTTAAAGCAGTCAGTAACAGCGGAATATTGGTTTAAGTAAATAATGGATACATTATGGTTATTCAGTTACTATGAAACATATGGAAAGTTCTAACAGCAAACTTTGGGTATAAGCAGCAACAACTTTAGCCCCCCACCCTCGCCCAAATCAATCTTGTGACGTCACCAGTCTTGTCGTTAGACGAGCCAACGCGTTGCTATGGTAATAGTTCGGTTTTAGGACGCTTCATACAACATGATCTAGAATAATGGCTGGAGACAGCTTGAATGGGTAATGAAGAAAAACTTAAATATAAGTTTAACATAACAGCATAAAACTTATATTAAAGTTTTTCTTCATTACCCATTCAAGCCGCTTCCAGCCATTATTAGTCTCAAAGTGGGTTCCTCGTCATCGAACATGATCTAGAGTTCTAGAATCTAGTCTTTATGTCGCCCAAGTCGACACCTTCGTTTAACATCAGCGATGTGTTGAGAATTGTTTAATGTTATGAAAGTTTAACACGATTTAAGATTGTTATAATAACAGAAATCTTTATGTAAACGTAGTAATTACATGTCCGCCTCCTAGTAACACATTCCAGTCTCACAATACACACAGATAGCTCGTCCCTTGTAATGATAATAAACCGAAGAAAGTTACGGCGAACTGTATTCATTAATACTACTGCTTTCGAGGGCTTAGATAAGTAAAATGGTAAATATGTTTAAACATGAAGCTACACAGAGAGTATCTAAACCAGAATTTTAGCGTTATAAAATCGTCAGGTTTATCGCCGAGCCAACAACTGGTTGATTAATGTGAAGCCTATCCAGATGACGACTTTAAGTGATACACATCTTTAGATTATTAATAGTAATCCCAACTAGATATATTTTCCAAGTCACCAAAGAAATTGTCGATGTACATAGGTCATAAAAATTAGAACAGTTTTGCGTGTCAGCATTAAAATATACTAGTGTTCAATGTCTAAATTTAATAAAACGTGTGACACAAGAACGTGTACAACGTCGCATGTCACTTCTTAAGACACAGAAACTAGATTTAAAGTAAACAACTTCCTTTAAAAGTGCTACGAATTTGAAAAAAAAAACAACATCACCTAGTTAAACTAAAATCTATACAGTCATGTAACAAAGTTACTTAAATCGAATATTTATGGATAAATACTTCATTGTTGGAATAGGGAACTACTTTCGTGCATCATCTCTAGGCTACATTTAGTTTGTATCATTTCACTATTAAAGCAGTGTTTATAAATTAATGGTAATACTAAAGACGCTCCTTTTTCTCACACAACGATCACCCAATACTTTGCCAGTAAATATTGAGTACCAGATCATAACAAGAGTATGTCGTAAATCAATTTTATTTCTCCGAAAGGAGCCCAAAGGACGCCTGCAGGAGTCAACTGTTTTACAGTACTATGATGTCAGTTAGTATACATTAAAATGACATCACATTAGGAATGCTTAACCTTTCAAGTTGTACTGTCGTGAAGTCAGTAAAACATGCGCTTCCCATACGACACGAGAAGAATTATGCACTATGTAGGCTACAACACAGCATGACACATGAGCTTCAATAGTAAGAAATAAAAATATTTGTTACTCTTTATTTGGGTTTTATTCACTATTGAAACAGAACACCTTCGAAGACCCTGCGGAAGTGCATCTAATTATTTATGATGCAATGTCGTTATTTAAGCTGGGATTTGAGGAATGTCGTTGGATAACACGTGAATGTCGAAATCTTACGCGATAAGACAGCAGTGTTGCAGTGCTGGTTTTTATCCATATACATCAACGGAACCGTTAAGTTCTTGAATCAAGATGGCTTAAGACACGTTACAATACTAAGTGATAAGGACTGATACAAAAAAACAACTCACTTTCTATGTAGAACAAATAATCATACCCTGCAGTGCTAGTGGCATTAGTCGCAATTATTGTTGATATTTTTGCTTGCATTATTTTGTTGTTGTTGTCTAAGACGCACAAACAATCTGGCGTATAAACAGTTAATAGACGCACAAATAATCTAGCGTATAAATAGTTCAAAGACGCACAAATAATCTGGTGTATCAGTAGTTCAAAGACGCACAAATAATCTGGTGTATAAATAGTTCAAAGACGCAGAAATAATCTGGTGTATAAATAGTTCAAAGACGCAGAAATAATCTGGTGTATCAATAGTTCAAAGACGCAGAAATAATCTGGTGTATCAATAGTTCAAAGACGCACAAATAATCTGGTGTATCAATAGTTCAAATTATTTGTGCGTCTTTGAAC